CAGAGCCTCAAGCTGTCCTCCTGGGTAGAGTGCTGTAGCATCACAGCTCACAGCAACCTCCAACTCCTGGGCTCAAGCGAGTCTCCTGCCTCAGCCTCTCAAGTAGCTGGGACCACAGGTGCCTGCCATAATGCCTGGCTATTTTTTTTTTCATTTCAGCCATCATTGTTATTTGGCAGCCTGGGCTGGATGCAAACCCACCACCTTAGGTGTATGTGGCTGGCACCTTAGCCACTTGAGCCACAGGTGCCAAGCCAGCACCTTTTATTTTATTTTATTTTATTTTTAGGAAAGAGTCTCACTTTATCACCCTTGGTAGAGTGCCATGGCATCATAGCTCACAGCAACCTAAAACTCTTGGGCTCAAGTGATTCTTTTGCCTCAACCTCCCAAGTAGCTGGGACTGCAGACACCCACCACAATGCCCGGCTATTTTTAGAGACAGGGTCTCATTCTGACTCAGGCTGGTGTCAAAACTGTGGGCTCAGGCAATTCACCTGCTTTGGCCTCCCAAATGCTGGGATTACAGGCACGAGCCACCAGGCCTGGCTTTTCAGCACCATTTATTGAATAGGGATTCATTTCCCCAGTGTATGCTTTTGTCTGGTTTATCAAAGATCAAAAGGTGATATGCAGTGGGTTTCATCTCTGGGTTCTCTATTCTGTTTCAAAAGTCTATGTCTCTATTTTTGTGCCAATACCATGGTCTTTTGATCACTGTGGACTTGTAATATAACCTAAAGTCTGGTAGGGTGTTGCCGGTGGCTGTGTTTTTATTACTAAGACTTGCCTTGGCTATACAAATTTTTGTACTGGTTCCATACAAAATGAAGAACTATTTTTTCCAGTTCCTCAAAATATGAAATTGGTAATTTAATGGGGATTGCATGAAATCTTCAGATTATGTTGGGTAGTATAGACATTTTAATAATGTTAATTCTTCCCAGCCAAGAGCATGCTATCTTCTTCCATTTGTTATTTTATTCTGCTATATCTTTCTTAGAGTTTCATACTTCTCTTTTGTTAGGTATATTCCTGGATATTTCATCTTCTTTGAAGCTACTGTGAAGGGAATTGAATCTTTGATTAGCATATACAAATGTTTACTGATTTGTGGACTTTGATTTTATACCCTGAGATGTTACTGTATTTCTTGATCACTTCCAGGAGTCTTGTGGTTGTCTCTGTGGGGTTTTCTAAGAGAGTTTGACCTTCTCTTTCCCCATTTGGATGCCCTCAACCTTATTCTCTTGCCTGATGGCATTAGCTAGAACTTCCAGTATATGTTGAATAGTAGTGTTGATAGTGGACATCCTTGTCTGGTTCCAGTTCTAAGAGGAAAGGCTTTCCATTTTATACCATTAAGTATGGTATTGGCTGTGGATTTGTCATAAATGGCTTCAATCAGCTTAAGAAATGTGCCATGTATACCTTTTTTTTTTTTTCTTTTTGCAGTTTTTGGCCAGGGCTGAGTTTGAACTCGCCACCTCCAGCATATGGGGCTGGCAACCCTTCTCCTCTGAGCCACAGGCACCATCCTGCCTATTTTTTTTAAGTGTTCCTTTTAGAAAAGGATGCTGAATTTTGTCAAGTGCTTTTTTTGCATCTGTTGAGAAGATCATATGGTCGTTGTTTCTGATTCTATTGATATGATGTATTACATTTATGGATTTGCATATATTAAACCAGCCTTGCATCCCTTGGATGAAGCCTACTTGATCATGATGTATAATTTTTTTTAAGTGTAGCTGTAATCTGTTTGTGAAGATTGTATTGAGGATTTTTGCATCTATATTCATTAGTGAAACTGGTCTGTAGTTCTTTTTAGTTGGGTCCTTTCTTGGTTTTTGTATCAGAGTGATGTTTGCTTCATAGAACCTATTTAGAAAGGTCCCTTTTTTCTCAATGTTTGGAATGGTTTCTGCGGTATGAGTTTAAGGTCTTCTTTGAAGGTTTGATAGAATTCTGTTGTGAAACTGTCTGGTCCATAGCTTTATTTATTTTGTTATTGTAAGCTTTTTATTGTTTATTCAATTTCAGTGCCTGATATTGGTCTGTTGAAGACATCTGTTTCTTCCAGTGTAAGTCTAGGGAGATAGTGTCATCCCAGGTATTGGTCCTTTTCCTCCATATTGTCAAATTTGGGGGCATAGAGTTTTTTACAGTAGTCAGAGATAATGCCCCATATCTCTTTGCTATCTGTTGTTATTTCCCCCTATTCATTTCCTATTGAAAGTTATTAGAGATTTTACTTTTCTGTTTCTAGTTAATCTGGCCAAAGGTTTATCAATTTTCTTTATCTTTTTGAAGAATCAACATTTTGTTTCATTAATATTCTGAATAATTCTCGTTTTCAATTTCATCTATTTTTGATTTAGTTTATTTCCTTTTTTTTCTGCTAGGTTTGGGATTGTATTACTCTTCTTTTCCCATTTTCTTAAGATGTGTCATTAGGTTGTTGATGTGCTCTCTTTCTCTTTTCCAGATGTAGGCATCTAATGCATAAATTTAATAATTTCCTTCTTTATCTCTTTATTGTCTCAACTGTCATTCAGCATAAGTTTAGTTTCCATGCCTTTGCATGAGGATAAAAATTTCTGTTGGAGTTGAGTTCCACATTTTCACCTTGTTGTCTGAGAAAATACAAGATATAATTTCAACTATTTTATTTTTGTTGACATTTGGTTTTTGTCCCAGTATATGATCAGTTTTAGAGTATGATCCATGGGCTGATGAGAAGAATGTGTAAACTCATCAGCTTTGGGATTATATGTTCTGTATATGTCAATTAAGCCAAATTTTTCTGGGGCTGCATTTTAGTCCCTTGTTTTTTTGTTTAGTTTCTATTTAGATGATCTATCAAGTTATGTCAGAAGTGTGTTAACATTTGCTGTTATGGTATTGTAGGATAGCATATTGTACTAAGGTCCAGTTTATAAATCTGGGAGCATTTAAGTTGGGTACATAAATACTTTAAAGGAAATGTCTTCTTGTTGTATTGCTCACTTGACCAGTATGTAGTAACCATCTTTATCTTTTTAAAATTTTGTTACTTTAAATCCACTTGTATCTGTAAATAAAATTGTGACCTTTCCTGTATTCTGAATTCTGTTTACTTGAGATATTAATTTCCAATCCTTTGTCCTGAGTCGTCTTTTGTTCTTTGAGGCTAGGTGTGTTTCCTGGATACAGTAGATGGATGACTACTGCTTTTTTATCCAATCAGCCAGCCTGTGCTTCTTCAGTAGGGAATTTAAGTCATGTATATTTATTTATTTATTTATTTTTTATTGTTGGGGGATCATTGGCCATGTATGTTTATTGAGAAAATTGATAAGTACAGTGAGTTCTAGTAATCTTATTTCATGAAAGTCCATTGCTTAGTTTTATGCTTTGTGCCACTGAGGAAACTACATTTTGTCCTTTAGTTTCTGGATGTTTACTTTGCTCATGGTTTATTGTGATGGTCAGTGTAGAGAACAGGTCTCAGCATTTCCTTTAGAGCTGGTCTTATTTTGCTTAATTTCCTAAATATTTTTTCTTTGAGACAGAGCCTTTACTATGTCACCCTCAGTAGAGTGCAATGGCGTCAGAGCTCACAGCAACCTCAAACTCTTGGGCTTAAGTGATTCTCTTGCCTCAGCCTCCTGAGTAGCTGGAACTACAGGCGCCTGCCACAACGCCTGGCTATTTTTTGGTTGCAGTTGTCATTGGTGTTTGGCAGGTCTGGGTCAGACTTGAACCTGCCAGCTTTGGTGTATGTGGCCAGCGCCCTATTCACTGAACTAGGGCACCAAGCCTCAATTTTTTATTTTGAGACAGAGCCTCAAGCTGTTGCCCTGGGTAGAGTGCTGTTACATCACAGCTCACAGCAACCTCCAACTCCTGGGCTCAAGTGATTCTCTTGCCTCAGCCTCCCAAGTAGCTGGAACTACAGGCACCCGCCACAATGCCCAGCTATTTTTTGGTTGTCGTTATTGTTTGGCAGACCCGGGCTGGATTTGAACCTGCCAGCTCTGGTGTATGTGGCTGGCGCCTTAGCCACTTGAGCTACAGGCACTGAGCCCTCAATATTTTTATGTTAGTGAAAGATTTGGGTGCCCAGGGCTGTGGCGCATGTGCCCATCACTGGCCCTGGAGTCCGCTTTCTCTCTGCCCACACCGCCTTGGCTGGAGCCCATGGCCAGGTCGCGCTGGTGCTCCCGGCGCTACTCCGCTGCTGCGGCTGCAACTGCAGCAGCTGCTGGCACGTGGGCGCCCACTGTGTGCCCTGCCACCCGGCCGCCAGTGCCTTCCCCGCTAGCGAGTCTGGCCCCGACTGCTGGTGCTGCTTATGGCTGTGGCGGCTGCCACCTCGCACATTTGCGGCTTCCAGCATGGGCCTGCGCCTCCCTGGGACACTGTCCGGGCCTCCCCTCATGGCCACTGCCTTCTACCCTGCCGTGCGAGTCCCACTGTTACAGCCCTCACTGGCGGTGCCTGCCCGCCGGTGCACGGAGCTACGACCAGGAGTCCAAAACTACCTACCTGGAAGACCTTCCACCACTCCCTGAATACGAACTGGCCTGGTCCAAGCTAGGAGAGGAAGTGGATGACGTTTATCTCATTCGAGCTCAGAGACTTCCCTGGTCACGCACTGTGGAAGATGTGCTTGCTTTTTTCTCAGACTGCAGAATCTGCAATGGTGAGAATGGAATACATTTCCTCTTAAACAGAGATGGGAAAAGAAGAGGTGATGCCTTAATAGAAATGGAGTCAGAGCAGGACGTGCAGAAAGCCTTAGAGAAGCACCACCTGTACGTGGGCCAGCGGTACATGGAAATATATGACATAAACAATGAAGATGTAGGTGCCTTAATGAAGAGCTTACAGGTCAAGTCTTCACCTGCAGTAAACAACAGTGTCATGTGTTTGAGAGGACTTCCTTACAGTTGTGATGAGAAAGACATCATAGATTTCTTTGCAGGACTGAATATAGTTGACATTACTTTTGTGATGGACTGTAGAGGGAGATGAAAACAGGGGAAGCCTATGTGCAGTTTGAAGAGCCAGAAATGGCCAACCAAGCCCTGCTGAAACACAGGGAAGAGATTTGATAACAGATAAATTGAGATATTTCCAAGCAGAAGGAATGAAGTTCGAATGCACATTGATGCTCATAAAGGAAAGAAAATAGCATCTTCTCCTATGGCTAAGTATATAACTGAGCCAGAAATGGTCTTTGAAGAACATTAAGGAAATGAGGATATTTGACCCATGATAGCTTTTGAAAATGAGAAGGAAATAGAATTACCTAAGGAGATGTCAGAAAAGCTTCCAGAGGCTGTTGACTTTGGAGCTATGCCTTCCCTGCATTTCGTCCACATGAGAAGATTGCCTTTCCAAGCCAATGCCCAAGACATCATAATTTTTTTTTTGCTCCACTGAAGCCTGTTAGAATCACCATGGAGTACAACTCCAGCGGGAAGGCCCTGGGGAAGCTGATGTCCATTTCGATACCCATGAGGACACTGTCGCAGCATGCCCGAGGACCGTCCCGCGTTCATCATCGGTATGTTGAACTGTTCCTGAATTCATGTCCAAAAGGCAAATAAGAGTTCCAGGGGCTCCAGATGATAAATTAAGGAGGAAGCAGGAAGCGTTTCATTTGCACATCTTTCTCGGACATGTGATATGATGTTCCAGGTTTCTTTCAGCAGTAGCTGCTAGAGAAAGGGTTTTGGTGTTTTTGGGTTAATTGCTTTTAAGAAAAATTTCACAGTGGACTATTTAGAGAGAGGAGATACTCAGTTTGGGATTATGAAATAAACCACAAATTAAAGCTTTTGTTTAAATTGTCTATCATCTGATTTAAAAATCTGGTATTAATGAGTATTTCATATGATTAAACAGTTTGTTTTCTTAGAGGAAATATTACCTATTGTAAAAACTACACATTTTAATTCTGTACTACCCTTAATCCTATTTTAAAAATAATATTAAAGGTTTTGTTTTTTGCCTATTTGTTGAGAGCTCTGATGTAAAACTTCTCATGGAGTAAAATAATGATTTATTAACCAAACATTCACCAAAGCAAAGAAGATTTCAGACCTTTGAACTGGTATGGTTTTCCAGAATAGTTTCAGTTTTAGTTATATTTGATTACTTAGATAGGGGTAGGAATTTAAAAAAAAATACAAGTCAAAACACAAACACCACAGGTTAGTGTCAGTGACAGTTTGGCAGTTTATGTCTTTAGAAATGTGCTAAGGGCATTTAACATTGATGCCTATGTCCTGCAGGGATTCTAGTCTTAAAAGTTTCTGAACTGCCTCCTCCCTCTTTTTTTTTTTTTTCATTTTGGGTAAACCTGAAGGGTCTTTGTTGTCTTCAAAACTGTGAAGTGACTTGTTTTGGACTAGTCCAGATGAGTAAGGTCCTTCATGGCTTCACTTGAATTTAAGCCAGCTCTGGATGGGAAAAAAATCTAAGTCTCCTCATCTGCTTTTTTAATGGAGTAGCATATCCCATATTTTAGAATAAGTAGGGGTGCCTTGCTTAAATAAAAATAGCATTTATTGTAATTGTGTGGAGGGTTTATGGATAAAGTTGTACTCTGTCACTCTGTGGCAGTATTTTCTGCTTTAATATTAAACAGCTTATTATTTAAATATTGGACAAAATGGCTGGCATCAAAATGTAGTCATTAATAAATTGACTTTCTGTGTACTTGTGTAGGAGAATCAACATCCTGTATACTTCCTTTTGCCTTGTCCTGTTCCCAGGGTGACAACTGCTATCAAGAGATGCAGTTCTAGTTCTCACAATGGAATTTGCCCATATGTCTTAGAAGTGGTATCTAGAAGAGAGTTTCTTCTCTCAATACCATCTCTCACTTAAACTGACTTTGTTTACCAGCCAAAACACAAAATCACTGCACTATAAGCAGTGAATAAATGAAGGCTTGTTTTAGGCTGAAGATTACCCAGGAGTATTTATTATTGCAGTATGCGAGTCAATTGAATATGTGTGTGTGTATATATATATATATATATATATATATATATATAGTTTGTTGTTGACAAAAATGTCATTATGCAGTGAATTGCTGCACACACAGTGCTATGATTTTTCTGTATATATATATATATATACCTATAACAAAGTAAAATTTATAATTTAAGCACAGTAGGATACTGACAACAATAACTAATACTAACATAGGACAATTATAACAATATACCATACTAAAAGTTACATAAATATGATCTCTCTCTCAAAATACCTTGTACTGTATCCAC